AAGGAGTTTTTAGAGAAAAATGTATATTTTTGTTCATTTTATGACTCGTTGTTATCGTCGCCACTATTACACCGTGCATATATAATCTCCCCAACCTAAAAAACCAAGTTTTTGGTGCTTGTTGTGCAGTGCGTAACCACCTATGCGCACTTTTCTTAGCACAAATGGAGGAAGCTCGTCACGGTGCTCGCGACGAGGTAGGTAATCTCCCTAAAGTCATTTTTTTGGCATTTGTGGTGCATCGAGGGACCCCATATGCATGCTTTTCTTAGCGTGATGGGAGGGAACTCGATGTGGTGCTTACAACAAGGCGGGCGAGCCTTGTGCATATTTTTCTTACCACGGTGGGGCAAAATATAAGTACCCTTAAGCACTCACGTGGCATGGCGGGGGAAAAATTATATTTTCAAATAAGTGCTTGTGAGGACCCATGCACTCCTTTCTTGGCATGGTGAGGGACAAAGACTACGACTGCAGTACTGTCACCCGACATTGACTATGCACGTCTTTCTTGATGTAGCCCACAGGCTAAGACTCCTGTAGTTTCCCCAAAACTTGGGAGACATCGGGAGGCTGTCAAAATTTTTTCTATAAATGACAAGGAATTGAACAAGATAGGGGACAAAACTTGCAGACTTTTGAACATCAGGGGACTTGCAAATTTGGACTTGAACTTGATTTGAATCAAATCATAAGAACTTGAACTCAATATAATCAAAGGGAATATAATTTAAAGCTTTGAGTCAGATTTTGAATTAACAAACGCATAATAAAATAAAAATAGAATATGCTAAGTTACAAACCAATCCATTTGAATGAAAGTTGATTGAGATTGTGAGCAACATCAATTATTAAATGAAATGATGAATATCAATGGATAAATGAAAGAGTTATGGTGGACAATACTCCAACAAAATGATTCACATGTAAACAAGGAACTCATGGCAAAAGGTCTTCATACATAAGTAACATGCAAGTAAATGTGCTGGTTCCTTACATATATTGAAAATCAATATGAATAACTGGATACTGAAATCATATGAATAAGAATTCAATCATCATTTGATTGTAAGCAATCATTAACAAGGAGCAAATGGAGAATACAAAGACATGCTCAAAATTAACAATGCAAAACTTCTAGTGAACATTAAAGCTCATATGCAAGATGATTCACTCATAGTTGAAGATGAAAATCAAGTAATCATTAATAAGGACCAAGAAGGACATGTGTCCCAGTTATAAATGAATATACAAATATATGCAAATCATACATGAATCATGAGGATTGGTGTGTGGCATCTACCTCGATCTTATAAGCAAGTATACTAAATAACAACACATTTAACAAAAGATTCACGAGTGATAGTAAGATGTATAAAGTGGTGCACTTATGTACAGTGCATGGGAAATATACAAGTATAATGATCCTTTTCCGATCAATGCCAATTTACAAGTGAATTCATTAAGCACATGCAAGTGAGAGGAGAAACACACATGGTGAATACGATAGACTAATACAACAACTTTGATACAGTTAAATATACTAGCTTACCAGTGGGAAAACACTAATTGTTAATGCATACAATAATCATGCAACAGATATAATAATGGTCCTAGAGTTTGTAAATAAACACATTAGTTCATCACAAACAATTGAACTCAATGTGTAGTGAATGTAGTGTTGATATCCGTATCTATACAAGTGAAAACCATAAGTATGCTATAGATATGAACGATGGGTAGCGAATATGATCATGCCTCACTATCAATATCAAAGTACAAATGAATGTACTTAACCTCATACTCAACCACCATTCAATGACCAATGAATACATTGATCTACTACGAACCGAATGGATAACATAATGCAGTCATAAGCTTCCATGAGCTACTGCAAAAGACCCGCCAAATAGTATAGAAATGCCCTTATACACACATTCGACATGTATACAAATAGACATACACTTGCATGGGCCCTTATGAGCGTGAGGTATTTACACATATGACATCTAGGGATGCTATGCAAGTCAATAAATAAACTTAAATTCAAAGCTGATCTTCCTACACTGGTAAATATGAGTTAACTTAGTTTGAACTATCAAATTAATGTAGTCGTGGCGTTGATCGATATATATATTTATTTTATACATTCATATTCGACCTTCAAGACCTATGAACAAACAAATTCATTAATAAAATCTAAAGCTAGCTCAAACTTGATCCTTTATTGACCAATTGGTATAGTCGATAGGGTTAAATTAATGAAATATGAATGCCCATAAGCACCCCGATGATGATCGTGTTGAATGCAAATCTCAATCGGATGAGTTTATTCCAATATTCAGAATGAAATTCCCAAAAACCCTTACAGTCCAAAAACTCCAAAAATTCCAAAATCTAAAATATTTAAAATTGAAATGAAATCATCAAACACTTAGAGCAAGAATCCATCCATCCAGCAACTGTTTATCGAGATGGACAAATTGAAATTTACTTCAACTGACAAAGAGCTAATATCTCATTGAAAATATCACTAGGATTCATTCTCAAACCATCGCCTGGTAGTAAGGACGTGATAAGAATCCTCTAAGCAGTGGTTTTGCAGTCAAGTTGCACCACAGGTAAACAATTATGATTGGGCCCTCTAAACCCGGTGGTTTTACCTCCAAATGACACCACTAATTATGGTTATTGTCTATGCCCGTATGCTCCTCAATGGGATCAAATCCTTGATATATGAATCGATATGATATAATCGATAGGGCACAACGTCCTCTCTTAGCTAAGATAGATTTGAATTTGTCCCCTTAAATAAATACTCCCCCTAGGTCTACAAGGTACCCTTGGACAAAGCAACCCATGATTGCCAATAAGGATCCTTCTTTCATGTTGGGTCGACTACATCCTCTGAGTAAGTAGACCACGGACCATGATGGTCTGGGATGATAGAATCATGGGATCTTGATCTGTGCGTCATTCATTCCCTCACCATTGACTTTAAGAGCAAGATGATAAAATTTCTAATTTTAAATATCCAATTTTCAACATTCAAAACCTATGTTGATATTATATGCCAGATAAAACGTATATCTACTTATCTAATTGACGACTAGCCTTAAGTTCTCTCTTGTTATCGGGAGGAGTAATTAACTATAGGAGCTTGCGCTTATAGGAAACCAGACCTCAAATCATAAAATCATCGTAAAATGAGGGCCAAAATCTCTGGGTAGTTTCTTATCTACAAACCTAATTTGTTGTCGTAAATATACCCCAGAACTTAATCAGTTAAAATTCCTTTAAAAAGCACGGGGAGGTCGGAGTGCAAATTTTTGGAGCCCACAAATATGATGTGTTAGTACATTCAATAAATTTAAAATATTTCCCACATTTCATTAAATTTACCTAAAATTGATTTATTAGTCTTAATCATGTTTATATATAATAATTATATTATACTTAATGAATTTAAGCTTAATTCTGATTTCATTATATTCATTAAGTTATTTAGATTTATTTTGATACAGAAATATCCTTTTCTTCTATATTTATACAATTATGTTTAAATTAGCTTTTTGTCATAATTATGTTTCTTGCCATTGCGTTTGCCAGCCTAAAAATTTGGATCCAACCCAGAATCTATATGTCAAGTTTACTAAAATATGGGGAGCTTTTTTGAAAAGATTTTAGAAATATCTTAAAGAGTTCTTAAATGTTATTTTTAAAGGATACCTAATTTATAAATGACAACTGTTCATCCATCATATCACCACACCACGGAGAACTGTGGCGAGATAAAATATCAAAAAAACTTTTTTACTAAGGGCCAGGGCCCGTTCGGACCTTTTAATATGTTGAAAAAAAGAATGAAAAATGAAAGAAACAGTGTAAAAGAAATGCAATTTATTTAAAATTATTTGAGTACAAATAAACATAAATAATTTTTATTTTTATTTGATTTAAAGTGAATAAATATAGTGTAATGATGATGGTGACTAGAGCTCGTCAACAGTGGGTGGTTACGATGAGAGACAATATTTGGCAGATATGTCGGGGGTCCAATAATGCAACGCCTATAAAATTAATGTATAAATAACTATTGGTAGATATGTCGGGGGTCCAAGAAGACAGCGCCCCCTGGCGAGGTTCCTCTACAATTGTTTAATTATGATGGAGGCAAGAGGGTTCCTCCCCCCGGAGCTTAAGAGCGTTCCACCCCCCTTTAGTATGGGTTGGCAGATGAAGTTGAATTAGATTGCAACACTTGTGGTACTATTTTAATTACAATATTGAATGGTAAGTCAAAGAAGGTCATTGTAGTAGCAATAGCACCTACAAAGCTGATAGTTAAGTAGTTCGAAAAAAATAGCAACTTGAGTTTTAAGACAACTAATAAATAGCCTAGATAATCAACCAGAGATGGAGAGAGAAGAATTTTTCCGTAGAGTTGTGCAAACTTTATGAGAGGTGAAAGAAGTTGCCTCAAGTTTGATTGAATCGAAAGTGGCATTGAGCATTAAGGATGCATATTTAACCCTATGGTGAAAAACATCTTACCCTATGGTGAAAAACATCATATTTAAATTCAAAATTATTTCATAGGCAAAATCTTAGCAACCCTAATGATTAATTATGCTTTTATACGAGAGTAAACTCTTGATTAAGGCCCATCGTATATCCTTCGGATATAATATATGTTGCAATGGATTTTTTAGTGCAGAATGAGAGATACATTTCTTCTTAACTAGAGGGGTATCGATAGAAAGAATGATAACAAGAAAAATTAAGCCACTTAGTTCTATCATCCTAGCAAGCAGTGGACCTTAATTTATTTTGTTAGCAAAAATAGTTAATCCAATCTTAATAGTAGGTGTGGCAAAATTTTACAGATCTAATAAACATATATATTTTTTCAAGAAATTTTTAATATTTTAATGGGACGGAGGGCAAGGTTGGTATAAATTTACCCCAACTGTCCTTCAAGTTGTAGGTAGCCCTCCCTGACGAGCTACCAGTTTTAGATGAAGTCAACGACCTGCAAAGAGTTAACTGCGCGTAATGAGGTGCTCTCCTTGACGAGTTCATCACAGTGTCAAAGTCAGTAAGCAAATAAATAACAAGGGACAAAAGAGAAGACAGCTCATGAGTCTGTAAGGTCAGGGACTCGAGAACAAAAACCCCTTCTTCCTCTCATTCTCTATTGCCTTATATGAAGCAGAAAGCATTTCGTTCTCTAAGTAGATTCTTCTTTGCAGCCTATTTGCAGCTGAAGCCAGTGAAGAAAGGGAACTTGGAGCTCCTCCTATTATATTCTCAGATCCTTGAAGTTAATTAATCAAGGTATTGTTCTGAGTTTCTCTCTCCTTTCTTATTAGGCGTGAATGAGTAATTAATTGCTATTTCATGTTGATCTTTGCTTCTATGACTCCCTTTTTTAAGCTATTCGTCTGGTTTCCTTCTTTGAAGGGGATTAATTTAGAAAAAGCTGTAAAATTTTGACAAAAAGTGCTTAATTTCTTTCGGAAAAATGATGTTTTGGATGTTAATAGTGGGCTAAATGAAAAAGATAACTGTATAAATATATAGAAAGAGTTATTGTTCATTAAAATCGAACAATAGATAGATATAACTTTAGCAGATTTCTGATCTCTGATCTGTATTTGAATTATCTTCTATTTTTTCCAAAGCTGGATTAGATTTCAGTTGCTAGTGGTCTTTCCATTAAAGGCCGAGAATAATAAGAAATATCACTATTGTCCAAATACAGCAGAAAGATTTAGATTACTATTACAACAGATGCTTAAAAATGAGAATTGTTCCTCAATCGTTTTAGGGTTCATAGTTCAAAGGGAAAGAAAACTGGAAAAATAAATGCAGATTAACATATGCGACCTGCATAATGGAGACCAACGGATATGAGCTTGCATGAAAATGACATTGGAGAAAAGACAAATAATAAGAAATTCATGTCGTCTTGGTCAATTTGTTTTTACTTTCTGGACTGTTACAATGCAAAGTTTATGAAAGTTAAGAGCGATAAAGCCATTTATAAATTAAATTATTCTACAGTCAAAGTCTATAAACAGTTATTGATATTTTCTCCAGGCACACCATTTGGCAAATTTACCTGTGAAAACGAAAGAAAAAATCAAATGGCCAAACAGAAGTTTACAATAGTAAGATCCAAAAAAACTGAGGCTAAAAGAATAACAATGGAAATAATAATCTATATAAGAAAAAAAAGGATCGTATTTTTTTTTTTTAAATAAAGCATAGTAGGATTTCTAGTTTTAAACGATGAGTTATAAATTGTAAAGAATATAGTTCAAACTTTTAACCTTAAAAATGAAAAAACCTCTTCTTCATCTTGCACCCCACTCAAACTATCTCATCAGCCTAAAAAATTACCAAATTCATAGAACAATGCCTAAGATGGTTTGGTCCGATAAAACGGCGGCCTTCCGATGATCAGGTTAGGAAAGTAGAGATATTGGATTTGATTTATGTTAAGAGAAGTAGAGTTAGACCTAAAAAGACTTGGTTAGAAAGTATTAGAAATGATCTTTCTTTGTTAGATTTAAATGAGAATTTGATTTTTAATATGACACAAAGGAAAAAAAAGATTCATGTAGCCGACCCCACGTAGTAGGACAAAGGCTTGATGTTGTTGTTGAATAGAACAATGCCTTTAAAAACCTTTTATTCTTCATGATAGTCAACAACTGCATGATGGATGGTGCACATATAGATACACAAAATATAAGTTTCTTAGGATTTATTAAATCTCATTATTCATAGGATTTGATATATTCATTAATTTCTATTTTTCATAATTTTTAAGCCTGAAATAAATTGCCAAGCAGTTAATCAAATTTAATAAGATTTAATAGTTTTTATACCAAATAATTTCCAGATTTTAATTCCTTTAATATTTACTAAATTTTAATTTAGAGAATTTACTAAATCCTACTTAGTCAAATCTTAAATACTAGATTGAACTCTCAACCCTTACTTCCATGATTCCAGGTGCTTACTGACTGCAAAACATTGCCGAACAATAAATCAGCAAAAATCCCACCTCCAGTTTCCTCGAGTTATTCAACTAGGAAATCGACCCTGTAGCCAATTTATCAAAAGAACAAATTTACATGGATTCAGTTCAGAATGGCAGACATAACAATGAAATTCAGGAAGAACCCCAAAGAACCAGTGGCAGGAAAAAGCTTGGAGATTACATACCCATCTACATTCCAGCAATTGAAAGGGGTCTCTTCAATCAAAGCAAACATGAGAAAGAAGAACGTTTTCTTGATTTTTTAAAAGCTCACCCATCCAATGAATGGTTTATAAACGTTTTTGAACAAAATTTAGTTCCAGCAAATGATTGTTCTTCACAAACAGACCCTGAAACCAATCATGGCCATCACCAACGTCGGCGGTTTCGGGTTCCTTTTGCCCGTAAGATCAACTGGAGTTCTCTATGGAAATCTTTCAAGCTGTGGATTAAGGGTCCTGAGCACATTGCACTCTTTATCTGGTTACTATTTGTTGCAGCTGGTCTTATCTTACTCTTCCTTGTCATGACTGGCATACTGAATGAAGCAATTCCGAGCAAAAGCCGTAGAGATGACTGGTCTGAAATCATCAATCAAATACTAAACGCACTCTTCACCATGATGGCTCTTTATGAACATCCAAAGTTCTTTCACCATTTATTCCTGCTCTTGAGATGGAAACCGGGAGAAGAAAGAGAGCTAAGGAAAGTTTACTGTAAGCATGGAACTTCAAAGCCCAACGAAAGGGCTCATATGATGATTGTTGTCATACTTCTTCACATAACATGTTTCTCGCAATATCTACTCTGTGGTCTCTACTGGGGTTTCACAAGAACAACAAGGCCTGACTTGGCTGTGAACCTCTCCATTGCTATAGGGACTGTAGCTCCAATCATAGCTGTTTTATACACAATGTACAGTCCTTTAGGTAGAGTAAAAGATGAGATTCCACTATCAGAAGAAGAACTACAGAATCAACCGAGTCAATCAGTAGATTCTGACGAATTCCAACAGAAAATTATAATTACAAGCCCAGAGTGGATTGGTGGACTATTTGATTGCAGGGACGACATGACTGTTACTTGCCTTTCCTTCTTCTGCACTTTCTGTGTCTTTGGATGGAATATGGAGAGGCTTGGTTTTGGTAACATGTTTGTTCATATAATCACATTCATTCTTCTCTCAGTTGCTCCATTCTGGGTTTTCGCAATCTCGGCTCTCAATGTCGATGATGATACAATACAGTTGATTTTGGTTATCGTTGGAAGCTTGCTTTGTGTCTTTGGACTACTTTATGCTGGGTTTTGGAGGACTGAGATGAGGAAGAAGTTTAAGCTTCATGGAAATCCTTTCTGTTTTAGTTCTTCCACACTTACTGATTATATGCAGTGGCTGTTCTGTTGGCCATGTTCTTTAGCTCAGGAAGTGAGAACTGCAAATTTCTATGATATTGAAGACGATGGGTTTTACAGGAAGGTGACAGATGAGGAGGGAAGAGAAGTTTTGATTCCTTTACCCAGAGAAGGTAATTTAAGCTTCCTTCAGAACTATAATAGGAGCCTCTCTTGCCCAGGAACAATAGAGCCTGCGCAATTTCAAAGTTACAGTGGGCCGATTCACTTAGAAAGAACTTTAACAGCACCAGCTTTGCAACGTCTAAGTCGAGTAGAAGAGGAAAAACAATTTGCTGAAACATAAAGGTAAAACTATGGAATGTTGGAGAATAATAGTGGTTTATATTTTTCATTGATTTGCTTTGCATATGTACAATCGTTTGGGTGATGGATCGCAGCAATAATTCTTTTTCCTCTTCTTAAAAATACAAGTCTCGAGTACACTGTAAAATTAGAGTTTTTTTCTCAAAGAGCTCTCTAAGACAGTATTCATTTGTATGCTGTAATTTGTTCACAGCTATAGACAATGAATAGAAAAAAAAGTGGAGTAAATCAAATGAAGCAATCATTTGGGTCGCTTTTATTATAAATTTTTTCTTTATATAGAGTTATGCTCTAGAACGAAATTTGGAATCCTTCATTCAATCATTTAGGATTCCAACAAACCTTATTCCAAGCACACCTAAGGAAAGATCTCATTGAGGCTTCATTTGGAACGGCTTTCTTACTATTTCTTAAAGTAAATTTTTAGTAAAAAAATAAAAATTATTGTATTAATAAGCTGTTTTAAGAGAGCAGTAAGAAAGCTATCCAAAATAAAACTTGAATTTGGATATGTTATTGTGGATCTCAAAATTCTCACCTGCCTATTCTAATTATACGAGTGATTTCTAGTTAAATTTTCAAAAGATAGATGGGAGGTAAGATAGCATGTTATATAGCTTTTGTACTCATTTTATGTAAACTTTATAATCATTTTTGAGGTTTTTTTATAGACATAAGCCCTTATGAATAATTACTTCTCTCAATCACTCGATGCAACTTTAGATTAAGCCTAGTTGATAATTTCTATGATCTTACTTATATCATAAGTGATTTTATTAGGCAAGTGTAAATAGATCATCATTAGCTTGAAGAAGATGATGGCCGAGAAAATGAACTCGATTAGGATCCTATGATTTTATCGTCCTAGATTGTCATGAATCCTAGCCAGCTTAGTTAGCAGAGATAGTCTACCAACATAATCTAATGATCCTTATCAACCACCATTAATTTCATCATCTAAAAAGACCTTGTACATCTATGGTGGAAGTTTGCAAAATGGTTCAATTTTAAATTGAATTTGATTTATAAAGGGCTTCATGACCAGATGTATTTTATGGTCCACAACTGATAGAAGTAGTTAGCAGAGGAAATTTGAGCTTTAATCATAATTATAATATAATTGCTTTTTTGAGCAAATCACCTGTTTTGGGGGTACTTCTCATTTTTTTTATTATTGTGATCATATGAATATAATTGATACGATACTGACTTTTTGTGAGCTTTCCAAATTTAAAAATTTATCATCTTTGACAAATTGATGTAGTAGATGAATGATTGGAAACTCTAAGCGTGAAGCGGTTGGTTATTTTAAGGTTTTTTTTTTTTTTTCATAAAATGTACTTAGATTTAGACAACGTTCCACTCTAATTATGAGATTATTTGGAATGTGACATCATTATGATTTGATCCCAAATTAATTTTCTTTGAAAATTTTAGAGTATTTAATGATTGGTTCCCCTCAAATTTAAATTTATTATCAACATAGCCATCAGCTGGGAAACACTGCTTAGATTATTTGATTTTGCAATGAGGAGCTTGGCTTTCATAATAAACCCTTTCATTTATGATGTGATCTAATCAAACCAATCGTAAGAGTCAAGTTATTGTTATTTTCATTACTTCAAAATTTGTCAACTCTACTAATCATTTGTTTAATAAGACATTGTCCTATAATTTTATGCATTCACCTAAACCTTTATTGTGATATGAATCTTATCAACTCAACCCATATATGTATATAGGATTAATTAATTCTTGATATCAGAATTTTTTATTGTGCCTTTTAAGTAAGGTAGACTTGAAAGTTCCATTTTTACATATTTTCTTCCTTTAAAGCCTTGAAGGCACATGCACATGTAAAAGAAAATGATTTTAATTAGAATAATCATCTAGTACTTGATTCCCAACCTAAGATAATGCGACGTTGCTTGATTAGGCTCAGTGTAGAGAATTTATTAATATTCTTTTATCCAAATCAACAATTACTATAATGTGTCATGGCAAATATAGTGTTTGACATTTGGAGATTCAAAAATAATATTGGTAAGGTAAGTCTTATTAATTCCTTAGTAGACATATCCGGTTTAGACCTTGAAATTGATGTGAAGTATTTCAAATGCAGGGTTGGTTCTCTCTACTCCATTTTGGACATATAGAGGATGGATTGGATCTTAAAATTTATGACTTTCAACTATATCCTATAAGCACTGCGGCCAACATGAACTTTTTAAACAATTTGAAAGATTATTAAGTCATTAGCATTGTTGACTCCATTGATATTTCTCAAAGAATCAAGCTAAAGATGCATCTTCTTGCCTCAACTGAGCATTAGGGGATAGTTTGTCTATAGAAAGAGGCCATGCATTCGTCATTTTTACTGTCAATTTCAATTTTTTGGCTAATCGAGTGCCATATATAAATTTACTTCACGTATAAGTTTATAAATTAAATATAATAATTGTTAATTTATGTTAGATATTTAGATCTAATTTACCTCTACAATTATATATATAATTCATATTATAAACTTGTATCTATAAATTCATGTTAGATCATTTATATTCAAACAAATAGATAATAAATTAGTTTTAATACTATATAATTAAGTAAATAAAAAATAAATAGATAAAAAAATAAATATTATTAACTAAAATAAATATAATTCACATTATAAAAGCATAATTAAAAAAATATGTACTTCATATATTGTGAACTTGGGAACTTCCTTTTAGCTATTTATTATTCTCACCTCACTTGGCCACTTTGTCTATGTGTTTTTTGTATAATATTGTTTTGGGGATTTACATACATAGTACTCTAAATTTATCCATTTATATATCTAACATCTAAAACCTCTAAAATACACTTCCAACATCTAACATTAACTGTTCCCTTATACCCTTAGTAGTATAATTGTCATTAAATAAGTTTAATATTTAAATAATTAATTAAATCATTAATATGAGTATTAGTTAAATATTTGTAATTTTAAAAGATAAATGTTAAATAATTAGGATTTAAGAATATAACTACATAATTAGTAATTTAATAATTAACTTCTAAAAAGTTAATTTGATAACCAATAATAATTAAGTTGAATTATAATTATATTTTTTATCATTATAATTTATTAAAGATAATGTAAAGTAAAGTTGATAAGTAACTCATAGTAAACACATAAATTAAAATCAAAACATCTTAAATTTAATTTCTAAATGAACCAACCGCCTTAAATCGTGGATTATGTTGCCAAACAGTTTCTCCGAATTTAACATATGTCATACCAAACAATTTTTTAGGATTTAACACCCATAGGATTTTGATTTACATAATTTACTAAATCCCATTAAAGTTAAATCCTACATGTTGCCAAGCAACCCCTTAGCCATGGTTTAGTTTCTTAGTATTTTTTAAAACAAATTTTTAGCACAAAAATTTCTTAAACTAGAAATTTTTATACTAGAAAATTATTTTCGAAAGCTATAAAAAGTCATCCCAAGCGAAGCCTTATGCTAATCGCTCACCCGTGAGTCGCTTGCCTCGAATCCATGTGTTTTGCCCACAAATTCAGGCAATAATCGAGCTAATCTTTCATCTCCATTGAACACTAGATCGATAATTCAACAAACTCGAAAATATGCTCAAACTTGAGCTCATTAATGAGTCGAGTTTAAACCGACTCGTGAGTTGGCTTGACTCATTTGCACCACCTACCTAGAGGCGTCGAGAGGATAGACAAAGGAACACCAAAAAAACTTAGATAGATAGATAGATGTTAATTATAGGACCAAAACCTAATCTATGCCATTCAAATAAATTTACTTTTCGAGACGCCTTATCTGGGGATTCGCCTCCTTCGATTTTTCCCGAACTTAAAATCACTTCTTGCCATGGTTGACCTTCTTTTTGGATTTTTGATGAATAAATGAGGGCTTTAATTGTTCCTTTTGAGTTCGCATTGGTAGGGAAATTCCCTAGTCGGTGGTCATCGTTGGATGCCATCCAAAAGTTTTTCTTTCAACTTAAGCTTTTTGGTGAATTTTTTGTCACTTTGTTGAACTCCAAGAACATTTTGATTAAAATTTTGAATGATCTTGATTATTGTCGCATTTTCTCGCACCGATCTTACTTCATTAACAAATGTTACATGAAGCTGGTTAAATGGACACCTCTCTTAGACATTGACATTGATTCCCCTACTATACTTATTTGAGTGTCTTTTCCCAATCTGTGTCCACACATATTTTATCCCCAAATTTTATATGGCCTTGGTGAAAGTGCTCTGAAGGAACTTAAAAGTTCGTTAGGGATCTTAAGCCCTTATGAACTAGCCCAATGCTAACCAAGAGAGGGGGTGAATTGATATTTTAAAAAATCTTTCACAATCAAAACACAAAACTCAAACCAAAATTTACCACAAAGAAAATCAAAGTGCGAAAAATAAATGTAGAAATAATAAAGGAAATAACACACCAGATTTATAGTAGTTCGGTCAAATCTTAATCTCTGTCCACTCCTCGGAGGCATCATCCGAGTATTGCACTAAATTTAATGTCTCTTATTTAGCCCCCACAGCTAGGCGGAGAAGCCCTTACAAAATTACTTACACCTTCCCCAGTGCGGTGGAGTAATCGGGCCCTTTTGACACCAAAGAGATCTTCTTCTTTTCAAAACTTCCCTCAAGATGAGCCTTGAATCCGATGGTACTAAGGTGTAAGCTCACCGGAGCAACCGTGTGGACCCCCTCCATACTCCCTTGAAACCCCCTCCAAGGATCTTCTCTCTCTCTTAAACTCCACCCTTTCCTCTCTCCCTTTCAAGCCCTCTCTTCAAGTTTTCTCCAAAAGAAAGAAGCTTCAATGGCCGCCAAAGACTCTCTTCATGAGAAAGCAAGAGGTCTTTAAATAGATTTGCAAAACTGACATTATCATCCAAGACGATCGCCGGATCGTCCAGTAAGATATGCATAAAAAGAGAGCTTCCAAAAATCCTAAAAACTCAAATTTGGCGCCCTGAATCATCTTGGATGATCGCAAGATCGTCCAGTACGATGTGCAGAATTTGACCTGATAGTCCTGGATGATATTTGGATAGTCCAGGAT